ACCTAGAGATATGAGTTGTTACTATGAGTTGGTTATATTGATTGCACGAAAACGCTTGGTAACTCGATGTTATAAAACGTGCCTTTGTGTATGATTCAACAAGTAGTAGAACAAGCCATATGAGTCGAAGTTTATCCATTCCTTTTACCTTCGGGATAAAAGCGAAATATGTGGGCCCCTCGATGATTTAGCGATGACACATGTGAGTGCTTGGCCAAGCCAGGACTGATTTGATTTGTTCAATCAGTCAGTCATCATAAATCGAAAATCGGGAAACAAACAAATGGACAGAGAGAATGATTATAATCCATGTCTCAGTCCATATGATATCTAGAATGGAGGAATATATGATCCCTTATCTAATGGACAAGTCATTGACAAGGTCAGAGTTCGACAGCGGCCTTAAGAGCTACGATTGCCAGTTAGGTTTTGAAGTCATACTCAATAATAGTTTTAGACTTATCCAAGTGGGAGACTGTTGGATTAATGTCTAAGTCCATAACTATATTTGGTATGTACTTGACCCGACCCGGCATGGTCCATTTGGGTTGCACTTCACCGGCACAATTTATATGGATAGTCTTTTGAGAATAGTATATTTATGATTTATATTAATATATTATAAGTTCTAATATATTAATATGGAATCATATTATTTAATTAGTATTGATCAAGAATTAATTTGGAATTAATTAAGTGATCAAAAAGACTAATTAAATATGGACTCTTATATATATGGAATGGGCCAAGTTCATTTAGGTTGGGCTAAGCTTTCATGGATGGTCCATGGAGCTTTTAACCCATGGATCCTATGTAAATGAAAGGTCATGGGTATTAGGGTTTACATGGATGTAACCCTAATCCTCCATAATATATAAAGGGTCCTTGGCTCACAAATTGACACAAGTGTGTGAAAATAGAGTGGGCCGATTTTAGTGTGCATAATATTCTCTCAAGTTCTTCCAAGGTGTTTTGGTGATTTGTGATTCCATTGAGGCTTCCACACTATTGGGGCTAAGCTCTTAAAGCTTGAAGACATCAAGCTACATCAAAAGGTATGTCATCTAACTAGAACTTTGTAGTATAGGTGCTTCATAATATGCTAGTTAGGATGAAACCTTGGAATAGTTAATATTTGCATGTATAATAGAGAAAGTAGAAATCCAAGGTTTATAGGGTTGCATGTACACCATAAGAGTGTTAGAATGCTCAAAACCCAACAGTGGTATCAGAGCCATGGGTTGTTTTCTGTATATTGATGCAAAGTTTTATTTTCAAGTTGGAAAAAAAGCAAAAATCAAAAAAAAAAACATGACGTTTGTCAAATTTTAAGATAATTACTTGTTTTGTGAAAACGCATTATTTGTAAAATTTGAATCATTTGTTAATGAGTTGAATTAGGTCAAATTTAGTAAAAGATTAAATGATATGATTATTTTATTAGTTTTAAAGTTTGATCTAAATGTTTTAAGGAGTTACATATTTTGTCATAAAATTTTGGAGCTCAAAAAGTTTTTTTTTTAAAGTTGTTGATCTTAAGGGTTTTTGAAACTTCCATAAGTTAGGATATGAAAGTTTTTTTAAAAAAAAAAAATTTGATTCAAAGTTTTTATGGAGTTACAAATTTGGTTTGTAATGTTTTTAAGAATTCCATAACTTGTTCTTACGTTATGGAACATGGAAAGTTTCATCATAAACACCATTAATCCATAAGTTATGGAATCCAAAGGTTTTCAAGAATTACAAACTTGCCCTCAAGTTTTGGAAATTGAGAACAGTTTTTTATGAAAAAAAGAATTGAATTCTAAAACTCTTGGGTTCATAACTTAACAATTAATTAAATGGTTTTATTTTGAGTTTAATAATGGAATTAGATGTTTTGGGGAATAGTTCCAATTAACTCTTTGGACTTATTAATAGTTAATGAAAGGGTTAACTTTTAACGAGTATATTAAGCCATAAAATAGTGGTTTGAGTTTAATTAATTAAAAGTCTAGTTAATAATAGATTAAACCCAAAGTATTTTAAATGTCTAAAAACACTTATACTATTATAATATTAAAAGTTTAATATATTATATGTAAAAGTTTAATATATAATATATTATATGTATGAGAGCAAGTCGTCTTTATTATATGGGAAAAATAAAGATGTACTATAGTTTTATCTAAGTAACTACCAGTGTACTAACTACCTTAAACTTGTGTGATTAATTAAGGTAAAATGTGATAAGATTGTAACCATACGTGATCGACTAGTATAACACGATGTTCGAGATGTCGAAATGATATGACATTCGTCACCCGTAGACCTGTAGGTCCCACTATAGCTAGCAACAAGGTGTAGGATGGTCAGTCCCATATAGATCTATACACAAATTCACGCTCTCCCTCCAGGAGACTCTGGGTACAAAACGTGACGTAACAGTATATTGCCGAGCCATGAAGTAGTATCTCACATTAATGTTAAAGTATTCTTGTATTTGTATAGTATGTTCTCTCTGTCTAGTGTGTAGTATGTTTTCTCTGTCTAGTATATAGTATGTTCTCTAGTGTATATGTTGTAGTATGTTTGTTTCTCGTTATAGTATGTACTGTTTCTCCTTATAGTGAGTATTGTCTCTCGTATAGTATGTATGACTCATGTATGAACGACTCTTGTTTTTTTAATGTTTCGTTGTTCTAGAATTAGTAAGCAGTGACTTCCTAAACTATACCTATTATAGTTTAAGCAATGTTGTTTGTATGAATGAACATGTTTGTACACCTTTTCTACCCAAAGGTATTGAACTGAACGAAGAACTTTTATATCTATATACATATACATAATATATAACTAAGATTCAAACGACCTTCAGACAAACAACCGATACCTAAGCCCACAACCAAACAAGGAACATGAAAATAAGGCGAGTTATCAGTCCTAAGTCCTTTCAATCCACTTATATAAACTATATCCATATAGACTGATTTGACAAAGTATAAGTTTAAAATAGTTTAATAAAGGGGTTTTAATATAAAAGAGTTGTAAAACAATTTTTAAGCATTTATTTGAAACACAGTTTGAAGTATAAGGAATCTATCTATTGATAGTTATTAATCACAGTGATTGATATAATAACTCTAATGTTTCTACTTGTATTCTCCCCTATTAAAGCATTTAAATCATTAAAAGATAAGTTAAGGGGTATGAAACTCACCTGCAGTGGTGACGCGAATGTAAGATCGGTTTGTAGGATGCTAAGTTCAAGTGAAGCCTTGAGCACAACAGATCCTAATAAGCATTAAAGACAATCATGTATATAATTAGTGTTATACAACTAATCATGCAAGGAAAACACCTTAGGACTTAGGAAACATTTGGAATGAAGTGTTACAATCACAAAGGATTGCATCTAAGGGGTTTACGGCCACACAAGTGTGTTCATGACCTTGATGTTTACGACCATGATGGATTACGGCCATTGGAGTTTACGGTCAGGTGTGTACGGCCATGGAGTTTACGGCCGTACACTCATGTTACGGCCGTAAACTCCTCTTGATGGAGCTTTTGGCCATTTTGGAAAAGTGGTGAACTTAGGGAACTCATCCTAACCCTAACTTTGAAGGTGCTAGGCTTAGAACACTCAAACTGACTCTAAGCCAGGCCAAATGATAGCAGAAACGAGTCTGACTTTGATTGAATTGAACGGTTGTATAAGACAGAAACTTCGGGTTGTCACATCATCCCCCCGTTAGAGAGAATTTCATCCCGAAATTAGAGTTTAAACAATTAAGCTATTACAAATAACCAAACGAAAAGATGAGGATATTTCAGTTTCATTTGATCCTCGCGCTCCCAAGTGAATTCAGGTTCTCGCTTGGCATTCCAGCGAACCTTCACTATCGGGATACGACTTTGCTTCGTTTTGTTTGACCTCTCGGTCCATGATCTCTACAGGTTCTTCCACGATGTTTAGGCTCTCGTTGATCTCGATCTCCTCGAGTGGGATTACAAGAGTCTCGTGGGACAGATACTTTTTCAAGTTCGAGACGTGGAAAGTAGAATGTACGTTACTGAGTTCTCGAGGTAGTTTGAGTTTGTAATCTACAGGGCCGATTCTAGAAAGAATATCGAAAGGCCCTACGTATCTTGGATTTAGCTTTCCACGCTTTCTGAAGCGTATCAAGCCCTTCCATGGTGAGACCTTCAATAGAACACGGTCGCCCACCTGGAATTCCAACTGTTTCCTTCTCTTGTCTTCGTAGCTTTTCTGTCGGTCTCTAGAGGCTTTCAATCCTTCACGAATCTGAACGACATTCTCTGTCGTTTCCCGAATGATTTCTGGACTTGTGAGAGTGCTGTCAGGAACTCGTCCTTTAGCTAACTGCGTGTCGCCCACCTCAGCCCAGCACATAAGGGATCTGCACTTACGGCCATAGAGGGCTTCAAATGGGGCCGCCTTTATGCTCGTGTGATAACTATTGTTGTAGGAGAACTCGACAAAGGGTAAATGAGTATCCCATGCCTTCCCAAAGTCTATCACGCAGGCTCGCAACATATCTTCCAAAGTTTGAATAGTCCTCTCACTTTTCTCCGTCGGTTTGCGGATGGTAGGCTGTACTCATGTCCAGCCTAGTTCCTAGGGAACTTTGTAGCGACTGCCAAAACGTCGAAGTGAATCTACTATCTCTATCAGAGATAATGGATATGGGAACACCATGTAGTCGTACGATCTCCCTAATGTATGTTCTTGTTAGTTTCTCCATCTTGTCTGTCTCTTTGAAAGGCAGGAAGTGTGCGGACTTTGTTAACCTGTCTACGATCACCCAAATGGTATCGAGACCACCCGTCGTCTTGGGCAACTTGGTTATGAAGTCCATCGTGATCCGCTCCCACTTCCATTAAGGTATCTCCGGTTGCTGAAGTAAACCTGATGGTTTCTGGTATTCGACCTTAACCTTGGCGCATGTAAGGCATTTACTCACGAAGGTAGCAATCTCTGCTTTCATGTTAGGCCACTAGTATAACTTTTTAAGATCCAGATACATCTTATCTGAACCTGGGTGGATGGAATATCGAGTGTTGTGCGCTTCGGTCATGACCAAGTCTCTGAAACCACCGTATTTCGGTGTCCAGATCCGATCCATGAGATAAAAGGCTTCGCCACCCTTTACTACCAAGTTCTTATCCATCCCCCTCAAGGATTCACTTGCCACATTTTCAGGTTTCAAGGCTTCTAGCTGAGCCTCCTTAATTTGTGTGGATAAGTGTGAATGGATAGTCATAGTCAAAGATTTGACTCTACGACCAGAGTATTCTTTCCGGCTTAGGGCATCAGCTACTATGTTGGCCTTGCCTGGATGATAACGAATTTCGCATTCGTAGTCACTGAGTAGCTCTACCCACTGTCGTTGTCTCATATTGAGCTCCTTTTGGTCGAATATGTGTTGTAGACTTTTGTGGTCTGTAAAGATAGTGCTTTTTGTACCATACAGGTAGTGTCTCCAGATATTCAGAGAAAACACTACTGCTCCTAACTCAAGATCATGTGTGGTGTAGTTGACCTCGTGTGTCTTTAGCTGTCTTGAGGCATAGGCGATGACCTTACCTCGTTGCATCAGGACACAGCCGAGCCCCTGGTTGGATGTATCGCAATAAACCACGAAGTCTTCTATCCCTTCTGGGAGGGATAGTATCGGTGCGGTGCATAAGGCTCGCTTCAGCGTTTGGAACGCTTTCTATTGCTTCTCTTCCCAGTCAAAGGCCATGCCCTTCTGGGTCAATGTTGTAAGCGGTTTCGCAATCTGAGAGAAGTTCTGAATGAACCTGCGATAGTAGCCAGCGAGGCCTAGAAATTGACGAATTTATGTAGGCGTCTTCGGAGCTGACCAGTTCTCAATGGCCTTTATTTTGGAAGGGTCCATGTGAATTCCCTCTTCACTAACAACGTGATCCAAGAATTCGACTCTTCGGATCCAAAATTCGCATTTCGAGAACTTCACATAGAGCTTCTCTGATTGCAGTGTTTCTAAGACCTGACGTAGATGTTGACTGTGCTCCTCCTTACTACGAGAGTAGATAAGTATGTCATCGATGAATACAATGACGAACTGATCCAAGTAAGGACGGCACGCCCTATTCATTACGTCCATGAATACTGCGGGCGCATTGGTCAATCCGAACGACATCACTACAAACTCGTAGTGTCCATAACGAGTTCGGAAAGCTGTCTTCGGGACATCCTCCTCTAGCACTCGTAACTGGTGATACCCGTATCTTAGATCTATCTTTAAAAAGTAATTCCCCCCTTGCAGTTGGTCGAACAAATCGTCTATGCGAGGCAGAGGGTAACGATTCTTGACGGTCAGTTTGTTCAGTTCTTTGTAGTCGATGCACATAAGGAACGATTCGTCTTTCTTCTTGACGAACAAGACCGGTGCTCCCCAGGGTGAGAAACTTGGTCTAATAAAGCCCTTGCTGAGCAGTTCGTTAAGTTGACCGGATAGTTCCTGCATCTCAGCTGGTGCTAGACGATAGGGCGATCTGGCTACTGGGGTAGCCCCTGGAACTAAGTCAATTCTGAACTCGACTTGATGCTGTAGAGGTAATCCTGGGAGTTCTTCTGGAAAGATGTTGGGAAAATCGCGTACTACTGGGATGTTCTTAATGTCCTTCGTCTCTTTGCTCACATCGACAACATGAGTAAGGAATGCGCGACATTCCTTTCGCAGGTACTTCTGGGCTTGAATGCTCGAGATGATGCGAAGATTCGTGTCGGGTTTGTCGCCGTAGATAATTAGGGTTTCGCTAGACGGTAGATTAAGGCGAATAGCCTTCTCGTAACACATGATGTCGGCACGATGAGAACTCAACCAATCCATGCCGATTATGACGTTGAAACTTTTAATTGAGACCGACATGAGGTCGATTGGAAATGAATGGCTATCTAGAGTTAGTGTACATCCTATGTATATGCAGCTAGTGCTCTCTGTCTTTTCGTTAGCCATTTCTACAGTGAACGGTTCTTTAAGTGCACGTGATTTTTTGTTTAAACAAGTGAGCAAATTTCTGATTCACGAAACTCCTCTCCGCTCCACTATCAAACAGTATGCAGGCATACGAGTTATCGAGGAGAAACATACCAGTGACCACTGTGGGGTCGTCAACTGCTTCCTCGTGGCCTATAGCCAAAACCCTTCCCACTCCGCCGACATTTTTCACTATCAGAGTTAGTGACTTGACATGGCTATTCCACCATGTCAGGGATTGGTCCGCGAAGGTGCAAGCACCGAACTTAACTTTGCTTCCTTCCGAACAGGAACAGATCTCAGAGATCGATTCCGTCTTCTCGAACCATTGCGAGAGGGCAATGATTCCTCCAGTCCCATTGAAGGACCTGGGCTTGCAGTTGGTGAAGTCCTTGTACGAGCACTCCCTAGAGCGCACTGGAGCTTTGACTATAGTGGGAGGCACGTTAGTTCCACTCCCGCTAGTACCGGTCGAGGTGAATTATGCTAGGGCTGCCGTAACAGCCGCATTCACAGCAGCTTGAATAGTTGCTGGGTTGTATTGAGGAGGAGGAGGTGGAGTTTGATTTGGAGTTATTGGAGTAGTACGCCTGTTCGATCTACGTGGAGGCATCTTGAAGCTATAAAATCACAAAGATGAAGATATTGGTAAGAATTTAATAGAGAGAATGATGAGAGTGACTCATGGACTAACTCTCCATAGCCCAACAACACAATTGAAAGTATGATTGAATATAGATCTAGTGCTAGAAAGATGAAAGAAGTAGGATAAAAATTTCCATGTGATTAGATATCTGTCAATAATATTGGTATTACAGATGTAACAAGTTCGGGAAAATTGACCTAGGAGTAGGTCTCCACATCAAACCAGGATAGGAAAATTTTGACAGAACTAAGACCTAATCGACTGAAAGTTCAAGGTCTTAAGATAAACAGGAAATTACAGGGAAAAAGTGCTACTTAGAGCATAGATAAGAAGGCTAATCCTTATACAAAAGGAAATTTGAGCAGAGCATTCCCTACTGGCGACGGGAACCCCTTGGGCGAACCCTTAAGTCATCAAGCTGACGCTCCAAGTGAAGAAGGTGTCGCTCGTATACTCGCTGACGCACGCGATGCTCTATGATTTCAGCTCGAGTCACAACTAGCTCTTGCAATAGAGACTCATGGTCGGTTGCAGCTCTTTCGCGAGCATCTTCCAGACGACAAATGCGGATAGTATTGACCCCCGCATTGGCAGCAACTTCCACAATTCGGTTGAGGGCTGTCCTACCCTGAATTTCGTTACGAGCAACCCTGCAGACCAGAATAGGCAGGACTCTGTCCGCTGAGCCTCCTCCGCTCACGTTGTAGAAACTTATGTCTCTTATATGTATGGAATGGGTTGACCCTGTTCCTGACCCCATGTCTCCAAACTTTCCACCTACAGCGGCGTCGAGCCTTAGAAAGCCGGACGAGGGTTAGGATTTGGGTTTGGAGCTATCAGGGGTTGATCGTTGACTTCTGGCTCGGAGTCAGAATCCTCCGGGAAGTTCTCTGCGAAGACATCGTCCAATGGAATTGCAGGTTCTTCTTCTGGCTCATCATCGAGCCATCCTCCGTTACCTTGGTTGGGAAAGTACGGGTCGCCGGGGATATGGAATCCAGCCATGTTATCTACGCGAGAATAGGGGTAAAAGAAATTATTAATAGACGTACTAATTAAGATAATTATTATAAGATGATACTTACCAGTTGCTCCAACACTTGCGTAGTGCATACAAGTCACACGTAACCAAAATAGGATAGACCTTCGAATAAGTGATCCTAACTCTAAGTCCACAACCAAACAAGGAACATGAAGTAAAGCAAAGATCACAAATTCTAAGTCTATAACACCCTAGTCACATATAACCTTAGCGCATCCACTCAGCAACTATTGACATACTAATAAAGACCTTTTTAGTTTGCACATAAGTAATTATAGTAACACAAAATACTCCTATAGTATTTTAAGTTTATGTTCTGTTCTAATGTTGTCATTGTAGTAGTGTTGGTAAGTTTTTAGATTTGCTGCAACGCCACAACCATTCCTAGGCACATGCAATCACTTCTCGGAAAGATATAGTTGATCAGGCTATATCACTCCTAGATCTGATTATATGTCCCCAAGCCTACTTGTGCTGTCCAACAATCGTAATACTTTTGTTCTGTCCTAGTGACACTGATTTTAGTATGAATGCAGGTATGTATACTTTGGTTAAATATTTTATTATTTAAAAGTATAAACTCTTGGTCAGAGTATTTTAATCCCGTTGTGTTTATAGTTGTTATCTTCTATGGGTTGATATACTCAATTCACTATAAACAAAGCTCTGATACCAATCTGTCACACCCCCAAACCAGAATGGCAAAAACGTTCGGGGGCGGAGGACGTCATGTACAGTATCACAACAATGCATAATAGTAAACAAGCAACAACATCATCCATTGCATTAATAGTATAATTTTAATACAAGTGTGTTCTGTAGTTTATAAGACACCAAAAATGAACAATCAAAATAAAGATGAGTCTTGAAAGCTCCGTCTTCTCAAAACCTGGTCATCGGTACCTGTCTACTGGTGACCTGAGAATACAAGTTATTTTGAAAGCGTAGATCAGAATTAAAGCTGGTGAGTTCATAAGTATATTAGTGTCATTGTTTGTATAATTTTGAAGAAAGTGATTGTAAATGTTTGATGTAAAATTTTGTAAGTGTTTCATGTAAATGTTTGTAAACTTACTACAAAATCCTATATATTTTCTACTAAAGTAGTCTTCTACCAAGACCCAACTGTTCTTTATGTTTGTTCTTTTGTAAAAGTGAGTATTTTCCCAACGTATGACTATCATTACCAAAATATAGTTTTCATTATCGTTTATGTGAGAAGATCACAATGTGAATGAAATGGGAAAAATAAAGATGTACTGTAGTTTTATCTAAGTAACTACCAGTGTACTAAGTACCTTAAACTTGTTTGATTAATTAAGGTAAAATGTGATAAGATTGTAACCATACTTGATCGACTAGTATAACATGACGTTTGAGATGTTGAAATGATATGACATTTGTCACCCGTAGACCTGCAGGTCCCACTGTAGATAGCAGCAAGGTGTAAGATGGTCAGTCCCGTATAGATCTATACACAAATTCACGCTCTCCCTCCAGGAGACTCTGGGTACAAAACGTGACGCAACAGTATATTGCCGAGCCATGAAGTAGTATCTCACATTAATGTTAAAGTGTTCTTGTATTTGTATAGTATGTTCTCTCTGTCTAGTGTGTAGTATGTTTTCTCTGTCTAGTATATAGTATGTTCTCTAGTGTATAGTGTGTAGTATGTTTTGTTTCTCATTATAGTATGTACTGTTTCTCCTTATAGTGAGTATTGTCTCTCGTTATAGTATGTACTGACTCATGTATGAACTGACTCTTTGTATGTTTCGTTGTTCTAGAATTAGTAAGCAGTGACTTCCTAAACTATACCTATTATAGTTTAAGCAATGTTGTTTGTATGAATGAACATGTTTGTACACCTTTTCTACCCAAAGGTATTGAACTGAACGAAGA